GCGACACTCGACTTACGACAGCTTTCGATGACACGCGCCAGCTCAATACGCATGCGCCCGACATCCGACAGCGACATACGACTTATTGTAGAACAGGCTTAAAACTTACCTGCGTTCCCGCGCAAAATGCTTGTATTAGTATGTACCGTGGTGACCGCCTTCTCGTTTCCTCGAAAGTAATTTTAAAACTGATCGCGTTGTGTCATTGTTAACGTCTCAGTCGTTTTGAACGTTTGTCTCGTCTACAATAGTGACGTAAAGTTGCTGGAAATATCTCGGCAACCATGGCATTGCACGAATCTGTCAAAGAAAACCTCGGTACCGTCCGCAAACATCTCGAGGATGTATCGTTGCGCGTAAGATGCATTTACTTTTTTTCCGAATTTACTACATTAATGTTTTTTTTTCTTTCTTAGAATATTAACGTGACAGTACATTTCTGTTATTTTTTTTGCAGACTTCACCAAAGAAATCATGTATATCACCAAATGTAACTCCAGATCATGGATTAAAAACTGTAAGCATGCAAGTATATTTATTTATGTGTTTATATGTAATAGTGTTTAAAAACTATGTTTTTAATTTTTCAAGACAAAAGTTGTACAAAAACTACAGCTAAAAGAAAAAGAAGACTCAGAGTTTGATCCACAGTTGGAACCACTTCTTGATGGAGGTGCAAATCGCTTTGTAATTTTTCCCATTCACTATCCCGACATTTGGGACATGTACAAGAAAGTAGAGGCCACCTTTTGGACTGTACAAGAAGTAGAAGTAGGTATCTCTTTGCAAGATTAAACACATGTTTCTTGTTAACAAAATGGTTTTTAAAGACCACAAGGTCAAAGCTAATAAAATAATTACAAAAGTAAAGTTTGGAAATAAAAATTAATATACTAGAGAGCTCAATAAATATCTTTTGTATCTACATAACAATGTGTTTTGAATTGTTATAGACTGAGAAAGACAAGAAGGACTGGGAAGAGAAGCTCGATGACAATCAGAAACATTTTATTTTAAATGTATTGGCATTTTGTGCCGTTTCTAATGGAAGCATTAATAAAACTGTAATTGAGAGATTCAGTCAGGACATCAAACTGCCTGAAGCACGGTCTTTCTATATCTTTCAGAATACTATAGAGGGTGTTCATTCTATAATGTACAGTTTGCATCTAAAAACATGCACATCTGACCCTAAAGAAAAGTTAGTACAACAAACATTTGTCATTGGCTTTCGATTTCATTTACTTCAATGTGTGATATAACGTGTTTGTGTATATTTTTACTGTTGAAACTATTTTGATTTTAATAATATATTTGCTTTGTTATTTTTAGGGTTTCGTTGTTCACTGCCATAAAGACTCTTCCTTCCATGAAGAAAAAGATTAATTTTACGTTAAAATGGATCGATCACGAGGGCCCGAACTTTCCCGAACGTGTAGTCGCGCTTGCAGCGGTCAAAGGGATTTTTTTAAGTAGCAGTTTTGCCGCGATGTTCTGGCTGAAGAAGCAAGGGGTTATGCCGGGCCTCACTTTCAGTAATGATCTCATTTCACGAGATAAAGTTAGTGTATATTGCTTTTATCTGTATTTATTGAAATATTTAGTTTGTGTGTTCAGTAAATTTGCACCATTTCTTTCTTAGGAGTTACTTTGCGACTTCGCGTGCCTAATGTTCAAACATATCGTCCAAAAACCGTCATTCGAGCGCGTGAAACAGATAATACAGGATGCCGTGGTTATCGAAAAGGAATTCTTGACAGAAGCGTTACCGGTTAATCTAATAGGAATGAATTCTGAACTCGTGTGTAAATACATCGAATGTGTCGCAGACAGACTGTTCATTGCGTTGGGATATGCAAAAGTAAGAGATGAAATTTTATTGTTATTTTACAACACGAAAACTTTTCGTGGTCTGTTCACGCAATATAATTTTCTTATTGCGACATTTGTAAATTGTTTAGGTTTACAACTCGGAGAATCCGTTCCCATTTATGAACGTTACTTCCCGTGAGGTTGCAACAAATGTCTTTGAGAAGAAAATAACCGAGTACAAAAAGTTCGGTGTTGCCGAGGAAGATTCTCAGAAAAAGAACATTCAGTCGGCTGGTGTGGTGTTTGGCGTGAATTTTTAGCGTATAAAGTTATATTGAATAAGAGAATATGTATTGTTACATCTCTCTCTCAAGTAGTGTACAACTATTGTTAAGAAGAAAGTATTGAATTCGCGAAAAGCTACAGGTTAGCGATTATTTTTTGTTGATGTAATCGTCAAGTGTTTGATAGTTTTATTTAAATTGTCATATATATATGTATGAAATAAATTTTTATAAAAAATTATTTTAGTAATTCTAAAGAAAGTAACACCAGCAAAAATATAAAAGGATCAAAAGAAGCGTGTGAAGAAATTCATTAGTACGTAGACATAATAAATATAAGCACAAACATCAAGTGTATAAAGGTAGCAATTAAAAAAAGTCATGCTACATGTGATCGTCGGTTTGGTTTGGTGCAATATTGGCTCAGCGGTTTAAGCTATATCCATACGCCATTCTATGTATTTTTCTTGGGTGTTTTAGCTTTCCGGAGTCTCTGGTTGGCGATACGCGGCGCTCGAGAGCTGGAACACGTACGCGATAGTTCGGTATTGTCATAGGGAGCTTTTCAGTTACATACACTGTGCAACATTGTGTTCATTAGTGTGAGTGAGACACACTGATATGCTCTTTCTCACACTAATGGACACTGTGTTGCACAGTGTCGCCTGTGTACGTAGCCGGAAAGCTCCCGCAGGTAATTATACCAGGTAATATTCTTTGTCGCGCAATCTCGCAAATCGCGCGGGAAACTGCCGAGACTGTCGAGCTTAGCAAAAATGATTTTCCGGCAAAATCTTGTTTGTTTCTGGTCTTGAAAAATTCTTTCAGAAATATTCGCGACGAGAACTCGCGCGCGAAAACCAAAAAAGACGAAAATTATGACAACCAGCGAGAATTGGCGGCAAAACGCGATCAGCTGATTGGTAGGCGCCGATTTGGGCGCGAAATATCGGCAGCAGCGACCAATGAGACGCGATCGAGATAATTTTACCCGCGTAAAGGTGCTGGGTTAGCAACCGGTTCGTTTCCTCGAATGTCGTTAAATCTCATCGTGTTGTGTCATCGTCAACGTCGTCTGTTGGTTCTGAACGTTCGCCTTGTTTAAAATAGTGAGGTAAATTTGCAGAAATTATCTCGATAACTATGGCTTTGCATGAATCTACGAAAGAAAACATTGGTAGTGTCCGCAAACATCTTGAGGACGTGTCCTTGCACGTAAGTTTTATATTCATTTTTACTTCGAACTTATTTTTAAACAGTGTTTCTTCTTCCTTCATAGGATATTTCTATATATTGGTAAGATATAAACTCAACGCGCAATCATCATCTCACTTTTTTCCTTTTTTTCTTTCGTTTTTTTTCACAAAATTATTGTCGGATTTTACTCGCGCAGCGATACGAAATTGTTTGAATGAGAAGATGGCAATAGAACTACTAAGTCTATATGTATTCACATATAGAACCTAAGTTGCTTAGAATGATCGAAATATTTCATCAGAATGTAATTCTTGCGATTTTATACTCGGTGTTATTGTTATATTCAATGTTACCAGTAATCTAGGATGAATAATAAAGTGGTAAACGCAATTACCTTGTAACACTGGAATTTTTTTTATTGCTGTCTGTCTTCTAGGTTAAATTTGAAACTTGCTTCATTGAAGTGCTAATACAATGTCTTGTTTTTGCAGACATCACCAAAGAAATCATGCATATCACCAACTATAACTCAAGATTATGGATTAAAAACTGTAAGTGGTAATTCTTTCTGCTATATGTAAATAATATATTTTACTTCTATATTATATGTCATATATTTTTGTTTGTTTCATTGTAGATACATTCCAAGTAAACTTTTATATACATTTATGTTTTTGTATTTTATATATATGTATAGAATTCTTATTAAAGAATCATATTTTTTTCCAAGGCAAAAGCTGTACAAAAGATACAGCTGACAGAGGAGGATTCATTATTGAAGTTCGATCCACAAATAGAACCTCTTCTTCAAGAGGATTCGTATCGGGAAGATGACATCTTTCCTATTCAATATCCTGATGTTTGGGACATGTACAACAAAGCAGTGGCCTCATTCTGGACTGTTGAAGAAGTGCCTTTGCACAAGGTTAATTAACTTCTATATATAAACAAAATATTTAAACTCAAAAATATAAAATAAAACTGAAAACACAGCACACAAGCAATGTTCCTTCAAAAAGCCAAGTAACAATTGTATCCTGAATCATTTGCAGGTGGACAAAAAGGATTGGGAAGAAAAGCTCACTGCCAATGAAAGACATTTTATCTCCCATGTATTAGCATTCTTTGCTGCTTCTGACGGGATTGTTAATGAAAATTTAATTGAGAGATTCTGCCAGGAGGTAAAATTGCCTGAGGCCTATTTCTTTTATATCTTTCAGGCCACTATAGAGACTGTCCATTCTGAAATGTATTCTTTACTCATTGAAACATATATTACAGATCCGAGAGAAAAGTGAGTACAACTGATATAAACCTTTCGCGTTTATTGTTTTACGTACAAAGCTACGTGCTCTAGCTTTTTTTTTTTTTTTTTTGTTTTTTTTTTGTATAGCTACGCTGTTGTAATTTATTTTCATTCTCTGAGAATGCAATCGATACGTTTTTTTTTTTGCAGAGATTTCTTGTTTAACGCGATCGAAACTCTCCCTTGCGTGAAGAAAAAAGCTAATTGGGCGTTACAATGGATCCATCACGAGAGCGCAACGTTTCCCGAACGTGTACTCGCATTCGCAGCGGTCGAGGGAATCTTCTTCAGCGGCAGTTTTGCCGCGATCTTTTGGTTAAAGAAGCGAGGGGTTATGCCAGGCCTTACTTTCAGCAATGAACTCATCTCGCGAGATGAAGTTAGTATCTATAAATTATCTCTATAAATCTATAATAATAATATCAATTATGTATATTATTTTTTAGGGATTGCATTGTGATTTCGCGTGTCTAATGTTCAAACACATAGTTCAAAAGCCGTCGTTCGAACGCGTGAAACAGATTATAATGGATGCTGTGGTGATCGAAAAGGAATTTTTGACAGAAGCGTTACCGGTTAGCCTGATAGGAATGAATTCTGAACTCATGTGCACTTACATCGAATTTGTCGCAGACAGATTGTTTGTTGCGTTAGGATACGAAAAAGTAATTAAAAATTTTGAATTTCTTAATCGAAACATTTCTCTCGCATTTTATTGACTTAAACGATTCATGACTGCTTTGTGTTGTCAAATTTTTGTCAGATTTATAATTCGAAGAATCCGTTCTCATTCATGGATTTCATCTCTCTGGAGGGCAAAACAAATTTCTTTGAAAAGAAAGTGGGCGAATACAAGAAGTTCGGAGTTGTAGAGGAAGATTCTCAGAAGAACAACGACACAACAAGTGTGGGGTTCGGCGCAAGTTTTTAGCGTGTAATATCTTGATATAAAGATGTATTGTGTAGAGGTAAGGACTAATTTTCATCATCTCTGCAACAAATTTGATTGGTTACTAAGTGCCAAAGTGCGGAGTCAATAGTTGACTCGAAGAGAATAATTGCTCGATCTCGAAAAAATCGAGTCAAGAGAGCCTCTGATGTACGTTGCGCATATTTCTCAAGAAAAACAAAATTTGCATATCAAGTGTTTTCTGTAAAAACGTTTTGTATTAAAAAGCTTTAAAAATGTATAATACAAATGTACGTACAAGAGAAAAATATTTGTAAGATAACAGATAATTTGTGTAAATTCGCGAAAAGCTGCAGGTTAGCGATTACTTTTTGTATCGATTTTATATCGATGCCGTCGAATTGTCAGATGAGCTTTTGACGAGCTTGCTTTAATTAGTAACAGATTTATATTACTGCATAAAAAAAATGTCTAATTTATTAAATAATTGCGATATAATTTTGTTGCTCTTGCGAAAAGTATCGTTTTACAATTTGATTGATTGATTTTATCATTGTATTAAATTATTTTACTTCGAATGCAGAGTTTGACATATATAATCCCTATTTAGTCGTGTGACGATATGATTTAAAAAAAAAAAAAAAAAAAAAGTTTTCGTCGTACATGCTGTTATATATAAATTTTTGTAAATAACACTCCCAGTGAAAAGAACAAACTTTTTTGTATATTGTATACAACACTTTCTATACATTATTATAATTAAAACAATAAACTGAATCCTGCAAATGGAACAGTTTTCTCTGATTTTTGAAGATGCTAAAGATTTTTAAATAATATATACGTTGCGCAAGAACAATAGTTAAGAGAAATGCGTATTTTCGTTCTTTTGTACTTGGTTTTTTTCATGTATTAACAAAGAATTGCATATGCAGTTCTGTTACATTTGTAAATGCTAGTATAAAGGTACATTTAATGCATAATATTGTACGAATATATATATTATATCAAAAATATAGTTTTATGGAAGTTCAAAGATAACACAAATGTGGGATTATCCGACAATAGGCATTTTAAAACCTTTCTGCAATTGTTCAAGATATTGTTTCCGGCATTCCATGTTATCAGCTGGTCTGTTGTACGGCAGCCAAACTGGTTCTCCAACGAAGTATCTCTTTGCTTTTATGTAATTCTAAACAAACAAAATTTCAAAAATTAGTAGAGAAATTAAAAAAGAAATTGAAGATGCTAGACACTTTGAGAAAAAGAAAACTTATTTTGCACAGGTTCTTATTTTACAAAGGAAAAATATGCCAAAAATTGTGGAAAGAGAACTTATTTGCAAGTGTTTACATTAATATCCAAAGTGAAACGATGATAGATTCCACTTGGTATGATTATTAAATCGCCGGCTGTCACTTCGATGCGAATCCATTGATCGTCCTTGTCTCGCACGTCAAAGTAGCCGGATCCATCCAGAACCAAACGTATCTCTTCGTCGGTGTGCAGATGTTCAGTGAAAAAGTTTTTCAACTGAACACGATATCACGTGCGTAGAATTTGGAAAGAATTATATAGAACGCAATTTATATGAAAAAAAAAACTCAATAGAGAGATGTTTAAAATTTTACATACCTTTTCCTCGTAATTCGGCAGACACTGTTTGGAACACGTAATTTCATCTTCGTACGTGTAACCGCGCTTTTCGCGCAGTTCTTTCAAAGTGTTATCCGTCTCGTAATTAAGGTGGTTTATCTGCAAAAGTTAGAGAACAAGAAAATTAGATACGAGAAAATAAATATGTGAAAACTCGTTAAAACCAAAGGTAAATAGAAATGTTTGTACAGATGTTGCGACAACAACTTTGTTCTTTCTAACCTTAAAGTATTCCACGCCCGTTGCTGCGAATAGGTTATCCAGGGATACGAATACCGGCGGTTGTCTGTGGTGTTCCAGTCGTTGATCGTCATCGCTAGTGTCCATGTACCAGGCGCGCACCATCGTCGCTCGAAAAACAAATCGAATTTACGCACCCAAACAACGAGAGACAGAAAGCTTGTGCGTCTTACAATTAATCAGCTGCTCTGACGTAACCAGTTTCAAGATTAACAACACGCCGGTATTTTTCTCGGTGTCATATATATACTAAGGTACTTATCATTTCACGTACTGTGTGTTGTATGTCTTGTTACATTTAAGATTATATTGATTGTCATTTCTCTCATTAAGTTCCCCTACTCAAGATGATAAATAATTATGATGAATTTCCTCGGAGAATGCAAACGCTCTTACTGAAGAAAGAACAAGAGTATGGTCCACTGAAATATCTCTTATTCAGAACAACAACAGAGACTTCAGATCATATTGACGATCTAGTACAGGCTGTTGTTGATATAGTTTATGAATTAGAGCTGATACCAAAGGACACAAATGAAGCAGAAAAATCTACCATTATTGATAACCAAGACGTTATTCAATGTTACTACTACATTTTGTTAAACACTAACTTTTCTTCGCAAGAACTACTGATGGAGGATCCAGAAGTTGGCCACTTGGTTGGTGTTTGTCCAGCTTTATCGCTGTATGTCTTTATACAGGTAATTTATCAGTAATTAGAACATTAATCAAAGTCTTATGATCTGTTAGAATAAGAAAATAAATAAAGATTGTTTGACATACACAATCACAAAAGCAAAAATTAGATGGCAATTGCGAGCCAAGTGTGCAAAAATTATAGAATCAGGTCATAACATAAATTAATAAACATTAAACTAATTAAACTTGTATGTGTACAAGTAGTACCTAATTCCACCTGATGTGGTATTTGAAACTTTTGTCTAAAGGAACTAGAAACAATTTTTAAATGATAATAATGTTACTCACTATTTTTTTTCTCTTATGTTATTTACATTATCATAATTTCCACAGATAATATGGAGTTTAAAGTGCGAAGAGATATTATGTGAATCGCTGCAACACATGCCTTTGGATCTATGTGTCGAGGTGCTAGAGATAGCGGTCAGGTGTGTGACTGAGCTAGAAAGCACGCGAGATGTTAATCTACTTTTCAACTTGGCCAATACAATATACTTTACATGTTTGAAGCTTCATTTGGGCACAGTGTCACAAAAGAATGTGACGGAATGTACAAATCAATTAGTATCGACTTTTTACACCATTCTAGATCAAATTAGCGAGTTTGCTTGTTCATCCGAGTCCGTTAAGAAAAGAACGAAATACAAGCAACACGGACATTTGTTGAAGCGCATTCTTCGTAATACGCAGTTGTGCATGCATTGGAAGACACTAATTTCTCTGGAAGATTCTGACAAAGCTCAGGTGAAGAAATTGCACAAACTCACATATGGCGATCTCAATAACTCCCAGAGATATTATCACGCGCTCTCTGCCGACGAGGTGAAACCCATCGTAACAATGTTGGATCTAGAACTGGTCAACTTGTTGCTCAGGGAGATGAAGAGAGTAGATTGCAACGAGTATATGGAATGGGCGGATATCTACGATACGGAATACAGCGCGATTTTGCTGCAGCGTGCCGTTGCCATCGAGTGTTACTATTTCATGGAATTTATGAAGGGCGACGAGTTTCTGACGCAGAACGAACAACTGCGCCAGTGCCTGCGGCAACTCATAGGCTCGAACTCGGATACGTTCTGTCTGAGTATCGACGAAATCTGTCACGGCATCGACAACGGCAGACACGAGAATATGAAGGAATTGCTGAAGCGCTACAAGGACTGGAACCAGTCCACACTGGACTTCATCGCCGAGAGGACGCAGTTGTTGAAAGGACATGATTACAATATTTTGTTCGAATATCTTAATCACGTGTTTGGATGTTCATACACCGAGAACGAGAAGTATCAAGCTTACACATCGGTATTGAGGATAATACTGCAGCAGGACTTGCCGAAAATGATCTCCACTGTAACGACATACGTCATGCAGCACTTTGACAACAATGTTTTAGAGCGTCTGTACAATCAGGAGATATTCGAAAAATTCATAGCGCGCAACGAGTTCGTACACGATGCTCAAAGTCTGCGTACACTTTTGATTTTCACGTTGCTCAACGCGAAAGCGGTGGTGACCACTCTGGTGAGGATCGCGACGGGTTGCTACGAGCACATCATATTCGCGCCCCGTGACATACTGCTGCTGCGGCCGTTGTTCGAGTCGTACAAGATCAAGTATAGTAAGAACGGCGATCAAAGCAATTTGCTTACGTCCATCATGAGGACAGTTTGTCTTGAAAATTCTAATTGGTCCGCTAAGAAGTTCGGAAAGTTCATCGAAGTCATAGTAGACTCGCAGGTAATAATATTGTAGACGTGTATTGTGACAATTTTTTATTGAAATTTATTATTTGAGTAAAATTTGTTATTTTTTGTAATTTATAAATATTCTTTTTTTTTTTTTAATTTATTTGTTTCATTCGTAATATTCTTATTTCGCAGTTGACTCATCTAGACGATCTGATAAACGACGTTTTCATACCCTATCTGTTAAAAAGCTCCTACGAATGGAGCAATCTTCTCTTCGTGACAACGTACGTGCACAACGTTATAAAAGAACAACGTTACTCATCCAGGACAGATTACGCGTTGCTGTACAAAGCGCTAATCAAAAGGCTATCATTGATCAGACAATGCAATCCGTCTTACTCGAGGGGACCGGTAAACAATATAAAGTTACTTATGAGGCGCACATTACATATTTTACTTGTCATGCCAGATGCGCTGACTGAGAACGAAAGGCGGCAAGTGATGAACGAAATCGATAGCAGTGTGGAACCGATTGATCGCGAACTCAATGGCCACGTAATGGACGTAATTCAGAATTACGAGAGACGCTGTCTCGCCGTGTATCGTCGATTAAGTACGGAACCCGCACTGCGCGACTACACAAAGTCTTTCCGGCTCGATCGTGAGGCTTTCATACGTCACATGATGCTGCACGGTAGCACGAAGGAGTTTGAAGTCTTCGCGCTTCAGCTTACCACCGTGTTCTGGTTCGCGTTCGGTTGGGCGGACGAATTGGACGCGTTCGAAAATGTGACGCGCATCGCCGCCGACGCGGCGCGTCTCGCCTTGACGTGCGATCGTGTATTTCCCGAGGATTCGCTCGTCACGTTGCTGCAGGCAATCGTGCAATACTGCTCGCAACTCACGAACATTGGGAACATCGACCTTAAAGTAATTCGTCGCGTCCTTATAAGGACAATGTTTTCTCTGAAAACGGCGGTCAAGAACACATCCTACTGCGAGACGTACAAGTCTCTGCTCGTACGCGTCAAGAACATCGATGTCGACCAATTTGACTTGAATAAACAAGCTTATTTGGAAGAGATCGAGAACTGGATCGATGTGTTTCTCGTCAAATGCGACAATCCGATACCGGACAACCCGCGCGAAGGCAGCAATTCGGACGAAGAATCAGATGAATCCGAGAAAATCCGCGGCATGATCGATGCGTACACCTTCGTGTGCAGATGCATCGCTATTCCTGTCGCGAAAAATCAAATTTCCGCCAATTGGATAGCGGATTTCATTATTCAACAACAAAAAGAACGAAAAGAGAATATAAGCTGCGATTAAGCGTAGAGTATTTCTATCTCGTCACTTTTTCGCAATAATTTTGCTCGAAAAAAAAGACTGATGTCACAAGAGTTTTCCATCGAAGCACACGGGGCTTTTTGTGTGTTTCTATATTTGAAATAAAGCACTTCGCAGTAATGTTTTCTTTTTTTTACCTAAAAACTTGAGTGACTTCAGAAAATTCCAAAATATCTTAGGCGATAGAAAACCAGAACTGAATTTTCAAGTCAAATTAATTTATATTTTCGTACCAATATACTAAATTGTTAACAGTATTATTAAATAATATTAATTTTAATATATCACGAGAAGAAGAGAGAGAACGCGGAATTAAAGATGAACGGAAGTGAAAAGGCAGATGGTAACAATATTCGAGTCCGAGTGTGAAAACCACAAAATCCTGTGTGTGATAATGGATTTGATTTCAATTTGTTTCTGTGTAGTTGCTGTGGGGAGGAAAAACCCGGCTGAAACTTTGCGCACCGACTAATCGGCATAAATGCAACAACTGCACGTACGAAAAACACAGAGAATATTCTTTAAACAACTGCAGATATATAAAAATAACCCTGTGGATCTCTTTCTGGTGAATGTCAAGTCATTTATGCCGATTATGTAACACGTATGCAACGTAGTGCGGGCACACGTAACGGGTGTGTTATTGACGTAATTTCAGTAGTATAATAAAACACACGTACAAGAAATGCGAAATGAAATATAAAAGGATTTTTATTTGAAATGTATTTTATGCGAGCGTTTTACCTTAACAGAGTCTTTTCTTTCTTAATCACAAACGTTAGGTTTTTTTTTGTTTTTTTTTTTTTCATTATCGTACAAACAAAATTACACCATTAGTCTCACCTCTAAGGTCTTCGAGTTTTTTTTTCTTCTTTACAACTTTATATTATGCTGCGTACGTTTTTTTTTTTTTTAAGAGTAATAGACATCAATCGGTGATTTTTTTTCTTGTTATAATTTATAAATAATACGTATAAATAATTAAGTTTCAACACGACTAAATTGCGATTGGAAACAAAACTCGTCAAAATGTGAAAATATTACAAATATACATATTTATGTCTGAATTCACTTAGAAGCTACAAACCCAAACGGTTCCTTTTTTTTTGTTTATTATTATTATTATTATTATTTGTCGCAGAGGATCGTGTACAAATCTGTATCAAACTATTGACTTCAAAAACCTTTAGCGCTATATTTGTGCGATAGTGCCAAATGCCATTGTACAATGGTTAGTAAATAAGAAAATGGAAAAAAATTGCGGACAAAGAAAAAATTGTGCATCAGTCTATAAACTCTCGATTATATTTTATTTTAAAAATCTTTTTTTTTTTTACGAATTAAAATCCCTAAATTTTTGGAATTTTTCTTTTATACATCAAATGGACACACAGAACTTTCGGGTGTGTTGCTCTCTCGGATGTACTTTCGGCAAAGAGCGAGGAGAGAAAAAACACGTCGCGTTTTAAAAGTTACAAAACAAAATTGCATTATTCGGGTAATAAAATAAACTAGAGATAAGGAGAAAGAAAAAGAAATCGCGATCGGTCGCTCTCTGCTCCAAGTATCCGCAAGTAGACGCAAATGTGAAGTTGCGATTTACAAGTGCCTCGATTCATCAGTTCATGACTAGATATCCTCATGCTGGTACTTCAAATACATCTCTATAAGAGCCGTGAACGCGGGTATCTCGTTCACACACGCGCTTATTTAAATATCATCTCTATGAGAAAAAGAAATACATTAATTACTAATAATAATTCTCGTCAACAAAATTATTTTAAGATAACAATTACTTAGCGCGAATAAAAAATTGTTTTCTTTTCACAGTCGCAGAAAAAACAAAAACAAAAATGAGCGAAAGCCGAAAACGGCAATTATAGGATCTCTCTCGAAGTGGAAAGGCAAACGGATTCGTAAGAAATTCCAGCATCTCAGTGTTTTGTCCGCCCACGTGATCCTGTATAATAATTGTAACAAAACAGAGCACTTTGCACAAAGCGCGCGCGCGCGCGCGCGGATGCAGAAGAAAAACAAAACTACAACACACTTGGTCTATTACGTAATGCACATTTTTTTCTTTCTCGTGTGTATATATATATATATATATGTGTATATATATATATATATATATATATATATTTATTTATTTATATATATAAGAGATAATCACGCTGAGATATACCTCGTCTCTCTCCTCGGAGTTTCAAGATATATAATGACCTTTTATTATATATACTTTGACTCGCTATATAATATATATTTACAGATTTTTCCACATTGTAAAAAATATATAACATATTTCGTACTCAATATATCAGATACGCAGGTAGTAGTACTGAAAGGCCGATATACACATATCTATAAATCGTGGTGTTTTCCTTGCTCTGTTTTTTTTTAATTTTTATTTTATATTTTTTAATTTTTGTTTTTGTTCTCTTTTTCTTTTCTCCAATTGTGAAATTGCAAATATTGTGTGCGTGTCTCCGAGGAGACGTAGCAACGAATGCGCGCAATGTCTCCTAAAACTGCGTGAGAATCGTCACGATATACAACATGTGGTGCATTCCCTTTTTTTTTTTATCTCAAAATTTGTTTCTCTTTTAATTTTTTCTCGATAGAAGGGCGGTAATAGGAAAAGATAAGCGAAATGAAGAAAAGAAAGAAAAAACAAAAAATCTCAACTCTTCTTACGTGTACATGATATGCTGGCCGACTCCAGACATGGCGCGATATTTCTAAAATTTCTTCTTCTCGACGCTCTCTCGTCCGCCAACCGTAGCTCCCCGGATAAAAATGGATTTTTTTTTTGTTTTTTTCGTTTTGTAATATCGTCAAAATTCGACCTTTGTCGTAATTTTCGCGGCGCGCGAAAATCAGACGCCGCCTGTTGCGTTTTTAGAAAAATATCGCAATACATATTGAGAGTTGGTCGCGCGAAAAACACACGTCACAACACAACAGCTCGCTTGCTCGCTCGCTTCTATATCTTTTCTCATACAAATATATAAATAGATTTTTCAAGTATATGAAATACTTGGGGAGCTACCTAGCGGTGGACGATGGCCTTGTGCGTCCTTTGTGATCCAGACTTCACAGTGTATGTGTGTGTGTGTACGTGTGTGTATAAAATAGAGCGAAAAACGCAAGAAATATGATAGACGATAAAAACGGCTTTTTACAAAGAGGCCCTTCGGTCGAAGCCGATGGATGGCTCCGATTATTGTTACTCGATATACAAAAGGTGCTGAATTACAACTACGGGATCACAGCAAGACTAAGAAATTTTTCCACGAGATTGTGACAAAATAGTGGTGTTTGTATATAAAAACGTCTTCTAGTTTTTTAGCCTTCGTTCTTTTGCGCCGCGAACCGCGAGATAACTCGCGACCGCAGTTTCCGGCGCCTCGTGTGTATATTACTCTCTTTTATTTTCTAACGCTCGGAAAAGAGAGAACACCGTTCGAGAAGAAGTGCACCGACAACGTTTTTGCGTTATTCGACGTTACACATACACACACGCGCGCACACGCATACACATATTCAAAGTATACGAACGATACCTATTTCCAATATAAATCTATTAGATATCGATCTAACTATAACCAATTGTAGAAATACTGTACATCAGTTCGGTTTTTGTTGCTTTATCCGATTTTATAAATTCTTATGCAATATAAATTTTCTTTCGCAAATTGGAAAACAGTATCGCGCGTATACGCGATTCGAACGATGCATCAGAGTGTTTTTATCGTCATAATAATATCGACTAGCCGGAAGAAAATTGCGTGACAGTCAAATTTGTGTCATATACACGTCGTCGCGGTAGCGAAGTGATTTTTGTTTTTTTTTTTTTTTTTGCGCTGAAATTGAAGAACACAACATTCGTGAACAATTTTTCGTTTTAATCCTTGAGGATGCAGATCTTTCTTTTCTTCAATAAGTTTGCTCGAACATTTCGACAGCGAAGAAGCTCCTATGTTTCGACAAACGTGCAAATTCACTCGCCGGTGACGACAGATAACTCGGTTTCTCTCAAATCTAAGATGAGCTTGAAAAAAGAAAAAAAAAGAATCTTGCATCCACAAGAATTAACGTGCACGCAGTGTCTAACGACGATATTCCTTCATCGAGAGTAGCGATATTTAAACGTCCGATAATGAGTTTTTTTTTATCACACGAGAACAATTACAAACGTTGTTCACTACTTGTCGTACAATCACAAACGTTTCACAAAGTTTTTAAATACACTACATAGTGTATGAATGTGTGTGTGTGTGTGTGTGTGTGTGTGTGTGTGTGTGTGTGTGTGTGTGTGTGTGTGTGTGTGTGTGTGTGT